TTGTTTATCTAGTTCAGGAGATGTGGATGCAGAATAGCAGTTGACACATCTTGAGCACCAGCTCTTTCCTATCACTGTTCTTCTAGTGATAGGAAAGCTGTAAGTCTAAAGTTAATGAACTTTCAAAAGGATCAGAAGTCTAAAATCTACCTTCCATCTATCCATCAGAAATCAGGATCCCTTTACTTCTACCACAGCAAAAACCCTGCATGTATCAAGGTATTCATACCACACTCTACTAAATGTATTAGCTTTTAAAAAATTGAAACCACTAATAATTTTCCTTATATTTCAGTTTAACTTACCCATCCTTCCTCTACTGTGAATAAAAAAAAGAATCTGCTTCTTTGATTATTAACATATAAGTCTTAGCATGTTAGAAAGTATATTATATCTTTCGATTCCTTTTGCGACTCGTACAATTTCTGAGAGAGGCAGGCCTGGGGAATACGGCTTCTACCTGACAGTCTTACGACAGGGGATAAAAACCCATAGTAATTCAAATAAAAATGATAGACCACTGTTTGAAAATTCACACATAAATCTGACACCTTAAATGAATGGACAAATTCCTCAAAATTATAAACTACTACAACTTTCTCAATAAGAAACAGATAATCTGAACAGTGTAACAATACAATTAAGGAAACTTTAAAAGCTTTCCAAAAAGAAATTGCTAGCACCAGATGGTTTTGTTGGCGAATTTAACCAAATGTTTAGTGAAGATCGAGCACCAGGTCCACAGAATCCTTTCCTGAACAAAGAAGTAGAGGATACTTCTCAATTCACATCATAAGCCATTGTTATCCTGATACCCAAAGCGGGGGGGGGGGGCGCTCAAAATAACTGTGGGCCATGTTCCCTCATGAATGTAGGTTCATACCAAAATATCAGCAAACACAATTTAGCCTTATACAGAAACAACTGTAGGCTATGACTAAATATGTCATTCCAGGGATGCAAAGCTCATTCAACATCTGAAAAAAAGTCAATCAACATAATTTACCACATTAACAGTCTGAAGAAGTAAAATGAAAATGATCCTATTAGTCATTACCAAAAAGATTATGACAAAATCCAACATCTATGATGACAAAATCTCATAGAAAAATAGGAAAATAATGGGAAAATGTCCTCAAATTAATTTTAAAGAAATGTACAAAGATTACAGCTAACATCACACTTCATGTTGAGAGACTGAGTGCTTCCCTTCCACAATTGGGAATAAGGCAAGGATGTTCACTCACCATTCTTATTCAACATGGACCCAAGTTCTAGCCAGTGCAATAAGGCTAGAAAAAGAAATAAAAGGGATATAGATCAGAAAGAAAAAAAAAAACTGTCTCTTTATGCAGATGATGTGACTATCTCTGTTGAAACTCCTAGATCTGCAAAAATTATTCTCCAAATCAGAAGGCATATTGAAGTTCAATAAGGCAACAGGATCCAAGATACACAAGAATCAATTGTATTCCTATGTACCAGTACTAAATATGTGGAATCCAAATCTTAAACTACAATACCAATTATAATCATCAAAAATATCCAGGCACAATGCTAAAAACATAAAAGATGTCAACTCTCCCCAAAGTGACACAGATTTAATGAAATCTTAGCAAAATCCCAGTGAGACATTTCATACAGATAAGAAAAAATTTTTTAAGTTTACAAATAAGGCAAAAATACCAGGCAAGGTAGTACAATTTAGGGGAAAAAGTAGAAGAAATCTGTCTGACTTTGAGACTTTATTACAGCTAAAGTAATCAAGGCAGTATGGGACAGGCATCAGAACAGCTATAGATTAATGGAGGAGAAACCACCTTTTCCTCAACTTCAACCTAAATGTCACACCCATGTAAAACTTAATTCAAAATGAATCATGGATTTAACATTAAATGTGACACTAAAAAAACTTTTAGAAAAAGAATAAATCTTCAGAATCAAGATCCAGGCAAAGATTTCAAAGACTGGAAAAGCACAATCCATAACAAGAAAAATTGACAGACTTCATCAACATGTATAAAATAAAAATTCAGAAATGAAAAATTCTAGGCCATGCTTCTGGAGCAGCAATTAAGATCCCACTTAGGAGGTCTGTATCTCATCTCAGAGTTGCCTGGGTTCAAATCCTGGTTCCACTTCCAACTCCAGCTTCCTGTTGATGCTTACCCTGGGAAGCAGGAGGTGACGGCTCCAGTAGTCTGGGCCCTGCCACTCTACAGGAAGCCTGGATTAGCCCAGCTTTGTTTTGGCCCAGCCTCAGGTGTAGTGAGTGTTTGAGAAGTAAACCAGTATATAGGAGATCTCTCTGTTTTTTCAAATGAATATGAATAAACAAAAATTTCTTTAAATGAAGAAGTCTGGTAAATAAAATATGAATGAAGTGATGTCCAATCCAGAAATCTGTTCTCAAATTATCATACACACAAGCATAGGCACTTCAGGAGTTATAAGATCTCAAACATTGGCTTACTGGAAAATTTCATCACAAAGCTAGCAGAGGATCTGTTCTACCAAAATGGGGAAATCAAATAATAAAAAGAATAAGGGGGAAAAAACTGCATTGTTATCATGATACTTAAATCAAGGGGAAAAAAACAGCTAAAAACAAAATAACTATGGGCCATGTTCCCTCATGAATGTATGTTCTTACCAAAACATTACCAAATACAATTCAGCCATATATAGAAATAACTGAACAGGGAGGGAAAAAAAGAGAGAAGCAAAGGGAATGCCCAGGAAACTGTAAGATAAGGCTGTAGGTTAGCCCAGAAGACTGAAAACTTTAAGATGATAAAATACAATTCTAATATATGCAGAATATTTAAAAATACACATATATTCTACAATGTATGGAGAGTTTAATTTGTCAAAAATGAGAGGAAACTGGGACAAAAGAGAAACACATTAATTTTAGTGAAAACACAGTTGAATAGAAAAGATACAATATTAACAGTATACTAGGAGATTCAGCAAGAATTGAACTTCCTTACACAATAATGTAAAAATAGTACAAACATAACCAACATCAATTTCATGGTATTTTAGAAAAATGGAGGACAAGAATAATGCTGGGGAAACTACTTCATGTTTTTTCCAACTATACTATCTACTTGAATATTTGAGCTCTGAAAAACTACAAACTAAAAGCACAGCAAACTTTCACTGGTAATATAAAACTGGACCAGAACTTGATCCCATGTAATTTAATTCCTAAAGAACCCCATGAATTTTTGAACTTCTAATAGACCCGTGTACCTTAGTTCTTCCACAATATTGTCTGCCCCACACAGTTTAAGCCCTCAAACTTGTTGCTGAAGGAGTGGGAAAGAGTGAGAGCATGGAATTGTTTTCCTAATCCAAGTAAATGAATGAATAGGGCATTTCAGGAAGAGGCAAGAGCAGAAGCAAAGACAACAAACCAAGTGGGGGAGAGCTCTGCAAAAACAGAGCTAGCATGGAAGGGAGAAGCTCCCAGAAAACATACTGATGCATGAAGAAAGATGCAGCCAGAAGGGTAGTCTGCTGAGTGTGGCACAAGGTCTTTTTTTTTTTTGTTCTTTTTTAAGATTTGTCTATTCTGATTGGAAAGTCAGATATACAGAGGAGAAAAGAGACAGAGAGGAAGATCCTACATCCATTCACCCACTCCCCAAGCGTCCGCAATAGCCGGAGCTGAGCCAATCCAAAGCCAGAAGCCCGGATCCTCTTCCAAGTCTCCCATGTGGGTGCAGGGACCCAAGGCTTCAGGCTGTCCCCAACCGCCTCCCCAGGCCACAGGCAGGGAGCTGGATGGGAAGCGGGGTTGCTGTAATTAAAACCTGTGTGGCACAAGGTCTTGACTACAGGTACATGAGCCTTGAGAGCTGCTTGGTTGGTTGGTTATGCAATGCAAATCAGCTCCTTCCCAAACAGTTTCAGCTTTCTACAATCCAAAGTAGTCCAGGACTCTCTAAAATCCTGAGTTCTTTTAGTAGCCTAAATGCAGTACAACCAGTTAGTCCAAGTAGCCTTCAGAAGAGTAGTCCCCTATGGTGGGGCCTGGGTCACCTGGGTCATTAGGGGCTGCATTCCCCAGTGGGTGCCAGGTCGATGAGCCCTGGGGGTGGGCGGTCTGGCAGGGCCCAGGTCACCTGGCCTGGTCCTTATGTCTGCCTACACAGTGGGTGCTGGGTCCATGAGCCTTGGGGATGGTGCTTGAATAGGATGAGTCATGTGATCTAGGGTGCTAATCGTGTTGGGCGAAGCCCACTGGCTGCCCCTTTATGGGGGCTAGGTTTGTGGGCTTGCATGGAGTTTGAGGGATGGCACAGGCGGAGGTGTGCAGACACAGGAGGACTCATGTCCAGGACTGGTAGTCTGACTATGGAATGCATATGTCAGAACTGGGCCTCCTCAGGGGAAAACACAAAGCAGTGATGGCAGGCCCAAGATGCACATACAGGCTTTGGCAGCCCATTGGGGCATGCAGAGGACATCTGGTACCATAGCAGAGGAAGGAGGGCAGAACAAACTGGACAACTACCCCAGATACTTGCAGCAAATATCTGGGCAAATGGAGACCCTAAGGTCGAGTATGTCAACCAATGGACATTGAGAGGATTTTCTCATCCTTGGATCGGCAAGATTGACAGCATTTCAGAACTATCAAAACAACTTAAGCAGAACCCTCAGAACATGCTCCACATTGGGGACCCTGGGTTGATAACAGGTGGTCGTTCCCCATCCCTGGGTACTGGGGTAGTTGGGAGGCTGAGTGTGTCCCAAACCATTCTCTGACCTAGAAGTTAGTTCATCACTACAGTGTGCTCCTTTCCTCAGCCTTCCAGCAGAGGCTATCCAAGGTAGAGGCAGCTTTATATCCCCTGGCTGTTCACTTCCATTTTGTCCAGAAGGCTCTCCGTCATCTCAGAGAAGGGAACACCTCTCTCCCATCCCAGTTCCCTGTGCCATTCTGTCCCCACATTAAATAAGAGTCCCAGGTGTGAGGACAGCCTTACCATTATCTGGATTTCTCTTTTGCACACCTGAAGGTCATGCTCATTGTTGACAAACATGCGTTTCAAGGCACACTTCATCCCATTGCTTGTTCTCACCAGGAACACAATAGCAAATCCACCTGTGAGAGAGACATACACAAGCTTTAGTGAGTTTTGTTCTAAAAGTCAGCTAGATGACCATGGTGGCTGCAGGCTGTGCTGTCATCATTTTGGTACTTACACTGCCATCAGCCTGCCTGGCCTGATCTAGATGGCACCCTTAGATTCTCAGAACTCAAAGACAGGGTTGGAGGCAACAGAAACATGGCTCCTAAACCAGATGTTGCAAGATAAAGGAGGAACAGCAACAATCATTCAAAGAACTCTCAAAAAGCAGAAGAAAGATCTGACTGAATTTCAACCACTGTTCTACACACTTTAATGTTATTGCTTCATTCTTCCCATAATCATGTGAAGCCAGGGATTACTTTCCTGTTAAAACTCTGTTTTAGTCCACGGCCATACTACCCTGAACGTGCCCGATTTCGTCTGATCTTGGAAGCTAAGCAGGGTCGGGCCTGGTTAGTACTTAGATGGGAGACATCAACAAAACTTTTTTTTTTTTAACACATATCCAAGCAATCTTTCCTTTATAACAGAGATGCCAAGAGGTAATTTCTCTTTAAAGATTTATTTATTTCTTTGAAAGCAGAACCTTAGGGGAGGTTGTAGGGGGAAGAGAGAGATACAGGAATCTTCCACACACTAGTTCACTCCCCCAAATAGTCGCAAAACCCAGCGCAAGGCAAAACAGAAGCCAGGAACCTAGCACTCCACCCAGGTCTCCCATGTGGGTGAACAGGGGCCCAAACACTTGCATCATCTTCTGCTGCTTTTTCAGGTGCTTTACTTGGGGAGCTGGATCAGAAGTAGAATAGCCAGGACTTGAACTGGACCTTCTATGGGATGTCAGCATTACAAGTGGTAGCTTAACCCTCTGCACCATAACACCAGCCCCAAGAAATAATTTCAATAATTGTCAATTAATCTCAAGAATCTCTTTCCATTCTCATTCTCTCTCACCTCACTGCCACTTTCCCTAGTGCAAATATAACAACAGATGTTGAGGATCTCTCCTGCTAGCCATGGCTCACAGGCTATAAAGAAGATACAAACAACAGCCAAGAAGGTGCCATTCTACACAGCAGACCTTAGGCAAGTATGGCTCGATTACTGGGAAGACTTTTTAATGTCTGTTCTGACCATTCTCTAAGAGAGAGTTTACAATTCATCAACAGAAATTTATGTAATTCTAACAGGAAATCCCACAACCTCTCAATGTGCTACACTTTAGTGTTTCATAAATTCCTAGAACTCATAACCTCAACCACTCGTCCAAATGACTATCTGGGTGCTTAAGGCCACTGTTAAAACGGGTTGGAGACGGATGAGACACAGCAAAGCCATCAAAACTGAAGGCACTGGAATAAACAGTAGTTTTAGAAGACAGTCCATTTACCTGCCTTATACACCCTCATCATTTTGCTTGAATATTCTGTCCACTGACCATGGACAGCAAAAAAAAAAAAAAAAAAAATCACCAGGCTCTTCTTTGCACATAGGTGGACACTAGTTGGATGAAGATGGACACAGTAGCAAGTCATCTGATGGGAACTAGGATTGAGGTTATGATGTAGGATGGAGCTATCAGCCACAAGGAGAACTGATGCAGATGAGTCGGCAGCCACTGTAGAAACATCAGGCCTCTGGGAAGATGCGGGTCCTGACTGCCATTATAAGTCCTGAGGCTCAGAGACACAACCATATGAACCCCTTGGGGCAATGGCCATGGCATTTCCTGGTGTAGCTCTGCAACAGTAACCATTCTTTTTCAAGTTAACGTCAGTATGATTCTATTCAATGCAATCCAAAAAGAAGCTTATATCAGAGACCACACTGCTTGATTGGATTAAGTTGTTGCTTGCAATGCTAGCATCTCACATAGGCACCAGTTCAAGTCCTAACTGCTCCACTTCTGATCCAGTTCCCTTATGATCTGCCTGATAAAGCAGTAGTCACCTGAATCCATGTGAGAGACCTAGACAAAGCTTCTGGCTCCTGGTTTTATCCTGGCCCAGTCCTAACCACTGTGGCCACTAGGGGAGTGAATCAGAGGAGGGAAGATTTCTACTGCTCCTTCTCTCTAAGTCCGACTTCCAAATAAAATCTTCAAAGAGAAAAATCACACATACGTCTGGAAAACAATTCTTAATGGGTTCAAATATTCCAAATGTACTGTGGTTATGATTTATCAGACAGCATGTTTATGTACTTATTGTTACTATGTTTTTCTTCAATATTCAGATAAACACTAAAATTTACCATACAATTTTTCATTTTAGCTGCATGTCATGCATCGTTGCATTTCAATACTTTCACCTTCACGTACGCTTTGAAATCTATTCATAATACTCTCCCATCAGTTATCAATGTTAATCTTAAGAGTTTTGAGTATATGTGTTTACTTAAAAAAAACTAGCATTAAAAAATGAGGTTGTTCTAAACACATTTTGAATTTCAAGACATATTTTTTGCATTTTAACTTTACGGTAACAATCTGCTTCGTAATAATAAAAAAAAAAAGCAGTGCTATTTGTTTTTTACTCCCCTTACCAAACTATTAAATCCATGACATATCTTACACATTTGTTTTGGGGAAAATAATAATGTGAAATGTTCAAAGTTCTCTGTTATGTTCAAAATTGTTGTACAACTAGTCCAAGTGGGTATTCATTTTACAAATATTTTTAAAACTTTTTAAACTCACAGGATTACAGACTTTACAGGCTCCCAGAGCAGCACTCCTGAGAGTAGTAAACCCAGCATTTTGCTACTTAAGGAGCAGAGACAACAAGTGATACTTTAGAGTACCATGGCTAGCGATGACCCAGGAACAGTGTCACCCTCCTATCCATCCAGAAAAATGTTCTTTTCACCTCATTTATTGTAGAGAAAAAAAAAACACTGACTACTTCTTTAATAATAAGGAGACACCTGATACTGTGGCAAAGCAGCAGTCAGGCATAGCTATTTTTTATGGCTCTGTGATGCCTGGTACCAATACACAACCAGGCAGACCTTCCAGAAGTACTCTGATGGCACTGTAATTTGAGATAACTGCCACCAGAGGGGAGCATTGTAGCTGTCTGTACCTTGCAGCAAGATGACCTTGACAACCAGGACTAAAGGAATGGGTCAGCTGCCTACCCTGTCAGCTTAGGCTCAAAGTGTATGACCACGACAAATTTAGAAGAAAAGCAATGAATCATTATGCCTAACCAAGACAGAACCATGTTATTAGGCATCTACACCTATAAAAAGGACTAGTATGGGAAGGTGAGAAGCATTGAGACCATGAGATCAAAACCCAAACCTAGCAGAATGTGCTAGCATAAACATGTCAGCAATCGTCACAGTGCATCAGATGAGATGTGAAGCATCAGGTCACAAGATAGAAGGCAGACAGCACCACTGAGCTTTCCCAATCGCAAGTCTACATCCACCTCAAGGTATTGAGACTGTCAGCCACGGCTAGGCAGGGCTTCAGCTGCTGTGGAGAGACTGCCAAGAGAGAAGATTGTCCACAGAGACACCTATTTGAGATTGAATTGAATCCCAAGATTACTGATTACATGGAAAAACCAAAAACTGAGATGGGGCTGTTTGGGAAGAGGTAAGAAAACCTAATATGCAGAGGCCTCAGTCAATCACTCTGCCTACTGGCTTTTTTCTGGAGGGCAGGCAGCAACACTGAGGTAATTCTACTTTTAAGTCAACTGAATCATAAAGCCAACAATTTTGATACAGTCTACCTATTAATACACAATGATTTGTTTTTCTTTTTTAGTTCCATAGAGAAACATGATTTCTCTCATTTCCCTTAAAAAATACAGCTCTGTTGGTCTAATTTTATCTTCTTAATGCTTGGTAGACATGTGGATGGAAATTCACAATTTGCCATGAATTTAGAACATGGCCTAAGCACACAGTGGGCACACAATAAAGAACTTGCCTTTTAAATGTAACCTCCAAAGGGTTGTACAGAGAGTACAGGAAACTAATATGTGGTCCACACTGTCAGATCTGCTAATTTCCATAGATAAGCTGGAAACCTAAAATCTCATGGACAAGTCACATCTTAATGGTGAGCAGGCCAATACTATATAGTCATACATCTTGGGGCTGGCTTTGTGACATAATGGATAAAATTTCCACTTGCACCAGCATCTCACATTGCACTGATTTGACTTCTGGCTGTTCCACATCCAAACTAGCTCCCTGCTGTGTGTCTGGGAAAACAGCAGAAGATAGGCCAAGTGCTTGGGTTCTTGCATCTATGTGGGAGGCCTAGATAAAGTTTCAGCCTTCTGGATTTGGCCTGACTCAACTGCAGCCACTGCAGTCATTTGAAGAGGGAACCAGTGGATGGAAGATTTTGCTCTCTTTCCCTGTGACTATGACTTTCAAATAAAAAAAATAAATATTTAAAAAAATAAATCTAGATGACTTTAAGACAATTCCTGGGCATTCAGTTTTCCAATCTCTGATCCAGATTAGCTCATTTGCTTTACTGATAGCCAATAAGGGCAGATACGGCCTGCATTCCACAAAATTAAAAGATTATTTGCAAATAAACTCATGTGTGTGTATAACTATGTATATAATCTCAAACTCGTTTAGCAGTTTTTGCCTTTCTTCCTTGAATAGGAAATTACGAACTATCATTCCCCTCTCCAGTATTTGTCTGATATATATATATATATTTTTAAAAATTTATTTATTTTTATTTGAAAGACAGTTTTACAGAAAGGAGAGACACAGAGAGAGATATATATCTTCTATCCACTGGACCACTCCCCAAGTGGCCACAATGACTGGCATTGAGTTGATTCAAAGCCAAGTGCTTCTTCTGAGTCTTGTATGTGGGTCTAGGGGCCCAAGGAGTTGAGCCATCCTCCACTGCTTTCCCAGTCCAAGCAAGCAGTCGGATGTCTGTGACATATTTTAATATTATTACACAATTATTATATTTATATTTGTGTAATCACTGAATAGGATAAGTAAGCAACCTATAGTCCTC